TAAAGCGAGTCGACCGACTTGAAGTCAGTTCTAGAATAGTTTTGAACTGATGTTTTTTTATCGGTTAGGTTTTTAAAGAGTGAAGTATAATTTGAAAATGTAGTGATAATAACAGATGTGAATGTTGTGATGGTAGCATTAATGAAATGAATAGTAATTATGGTGCAACAAATAACCTGTCCGGTGGTGGTAATGATCAGTTTTAAAGGTGCTCGATAGTTGCTCGAAGTCAGCAATTCGATTGCAACCGCCGGATCCGAGAGACGAAGTCGCATATATCATCGAGAATAACGCGATGGTGGAATTTTTGAGTGAACGAGTACGAGAAAAGTGTCAAAATGTTGTGGTGAAAACGAAAATGAAGGTAGAAGATTGTTGGTGAGTTGATAGATTTTGAACTTGAAATATGACAGTGATTCATGTCATTGACAATGTTGTGTTGTTCTGAGGAAAGGCATCTTTTAGACGATCAACTGAACAACTCATTATAAGATTGTTGTATGCATTCGTCTTGTTAGGTTCTTGCGGGTATCAAATTATAATTTGTTTCACTGAAGTAAGTAAAGTTCATGGTACTAGTAATACTGATAATGTGTTTTTCAGTTTCCCGGATACGTTAGCTGAATTAGCTGAGCTGAAATTGAGTGATGGATCAGAGATTTCAACGCCTTTAATTGTGAGTTATTTTCTTCACTGTAGGCCGATGCGCTTTGAGAAATGGACGGCTTATCGTTATGAGCTGTTTGCTTTCTTATTCGGTGTGTACAATACATCATTTGAATGACATATCTTGCAGATTCATTTGTTTTTAAGTATTAATTGAAGATTGGTGCAGATGGTGTGCAAAGTAAAGTGAGGCAGTCATTGGGTGTTGATTACACATCTTGGGAGTACAATCAGAGAGGTGTTGTGGCCACGGTGAAGATACGAGCGGTGTGTACTCTTGTTCTTTCATTCAATTCGTTATTAGTAGATCTTCCTCTTGAGAAATTGTCTGTTCATTCGTAATGTTCTAATGGTAATTTTATGTTTTCTCTCCAAAATTATAATGTTATTGTGCAGGGTGCAATCTACGTTATCGAACAGGTACCTTGGAACGTGGAGAATGTAAACTATCTTTGCAGGAAGATGACAACGGTGCAGCATGGCAACGATTCAGTAAGCATGGACCAATAGCGTTGTTACCGCTCAGTGAAGAATATAGCTCATTGGTTTGGACGACAAGTAATGAACATGCTAAAAGGCTTCTGTCATTAACACCTGAAGAATTTGTGGACGAACTGAATTATTATCTGGTGAGTTTTTTGAGTAAGAATGCATTTTCATATACAACAACTGCTTATTTGGACGGTAAGGAGAAGGTGATCGTGACAGTAAAAGTATTGATGATAC